TCATGTACCGACAGATTACATCAGTTCTATCTGTATATTTGTGTTGGGTTTTTTTTTTTTTTTTTTAGGTCAGATTACTTTGATTCTGTATGTTTCCTTCAATAATGCTTAACCCCAACAAAACAGATATTACAAGAAGCTGCAAGTGGACTGCTTACTGAAGATGACAGAAGTTTTACCTACAGAAGCATGCAGAAAGTTCTAATGACTCTTCACATCTCACGTATGCTTTGGCTTTCAGAACTTCTGCAAGCTTACCTCCTTAGACTGGGATCTTTCCTAAAACTAGGTAGCCTGCAACGGTGTAAGTGCATCCACTACAATACCAGTTTGAAGTTGCAGTACCTGGGGACAAACAGCCCCCGGTGGTAGTCTGTGATAACAATTCTTTATATCAAGTTGGAAAAAATAGCCTACAAATCACTTGAAAAGTCTAGCATTAAAGGAGTTGTAGAAACAAAGGACTTCCTTTTAGAAACTATATGAAAGCTGTGAAGTGTTGTGACCACTGTAACTATAATACTGGCTACATTAGAATGCAGTATTATAACTAAAGGTCACTGTGTGCAGCAATTGTTATTTATTGTTCTCTCCTTTAAAATTGCTTTTCTTTTCAGACTTAGAGAAAAATTAATAATCTTCTGTGCTTCTGCATGCAGCCAGTTACACACTCAAGCTAATTATAGATCATATTAATTTGGCCTGCCATACATGCAGAGAGTCTGGAGGTGTCCAATTTTTCTGTCACAAATTTTGTCTGGCATAAAAAAAGAGAAGAGTCAACTGTCTGCAATTAGTAGGTATCTGGACAAAGGGGACACATGGTGTGTGTTGTTACTTCACTTTAATGTATCTCCTAGGCATTCATGATCAGTAGCGTGTATTTCTATCTGGGAAATCCCAGAACAAAGGTTTTTCACATGGTGGGTGCCTTTGCAGTATACACATGATGAGCTATTTGTTATAATCCATGTAAGAGATAATGTTATATAATGAGTTTTCAAAATACAGTGTACACTGTAGGAAAAAGCATTAACACAAGAATCAGAAATCAAAAATCTTATTGCTATGGAGACTCTGCCATAATGATCTGAAATAATTTATAAATTCACTTAACTGTTTAAATTCAAATAACTGCATTTGCAGAATACTTAAAGATGAGTACTTTTATAAGTTTTCCATAATACAGATTCATTTTTGTTGAGACATGTGTATATATTTTTGGATCTAGACAAAGTTCCACTGATTTCAGTAGGACCTTAAATGGCTGTAGGAAGTTCTACTGATCTGAAAGAACATCTGGTTCTTACTGGAGGATCACTTTCCTAATATTAGCTTAATAAAACTATATATATGAAGCATACATGTATATATATACATAAAAGCATGCATGCATACTTACATGTATATATCTAATGCTACTGAAGCACGTTTCTTTTATTAAAAAAATTTCAGTGAATGGTAAAAATTTTGGACCACATTTTAAGGTTAAGTTGCAATTTGGCAAAACTCTCCATGGCAAACAGAATGTGCTCTGTCCACATAAAAGTTACCACACATGCTTGCTGCTTGAAACTGAGGATCCATTGAGAAATTTTAGACTGTCCTCTAAAATGTAATTCTTGTTTAGGGAGCGTTGTCAACATCAATTTTTAAAGCCTAAATAGAATTAGAGTGTTCTTTCAATAATGTGCCCTGCTAGTTTGCAAATTTCAGTTGAAATTTGTTCATGTGGTTTTCTGATCTCCAATTATGCATCGGTCCTTTCAAACAAACTGGATTCCCAGAAAATCCACATTTCTTAATAATCACTCATTATTTTGTCTATGAGCATGGAAAGAAAATGCCAGTTGTCCCTGTTTTGGCATCCAGAACTCTCTCACTCTTTCAGAATGAGGCCTCTGTCTAGCAAACTTACTACATACTGTAAGTATATAACTGCTTAAAATGGGTGGATATTCTAAAAATTGGAATCTAACAAAAAAGTGAGCATTTTCATTAAACATTTGCCTATTACCTACCAGATACGTGAAGAAAATATGACGGAAACACTATCATTTTCTCTCCAAATGCTTTCTGTGATCATACATCCACAGCATGTACACAATTATCAATCAGAATTCTGTTGTCAAGTGGTGGAGCTCACCATTACATGTGAAGAAAATTTTCTCTAAAATAGCATTGTACAACCAAATACCTCCAATATAGTTTAAGAAAACTACTGGTTTCCAATAAGAAAATAAATTCACGTTAAAAGTCTGTGATTTGGTGAAGGAGATATAATGTGTTGATAACTTTCAACTAAAGACAAGTAACCTTTTGGTTTTTATTCTGGCTATATTCAGCTTTGACGTGACAGTATAAGTTATATTTAAACCTAGAGACAGATCCAAATGAATGCAAGATGACCAGAGAAACTGCGACTTTGAGTTAGTTAAAACCTATGATGAAGTATCCAAAAGGTGATTCAGGTAGAGCAGGTAAGAAACACATCAGCCATCAGATCTTCTCAGCTCCATTCTTTCACCTGTGGGTTTCACAGAGATTTGGCCATCTCCAGCAAGTAACATCTTCTGGAGGCTGAATGGCCCATTGTAGAAAACGGATGAAGCATGAATTATTACTTCCTGCAATGCTAGCCCAATGATTTAAAATATATTTCCCTCTATTAAGAAACCAGATCTTTTTATCACTAATGTCTCATGTAACTTTTCTCTTGATCAGGTGTAAGGTTTATAAGACATTCTCTGACTCTTTAGCATTCTAGGTAAAAGAATAGTAATGATTTATATAAGTGAATGTGGATGTGGATGAAACACTGAGGTGTTGTATAGCCCATTTTGTTCTAACATACTGATTATTCTTGTTACTTCTAAAACCGTTCTGTAACTACTTTTAAATTTAAAAGTTGTGAATAGAATTCATCTGTAAAATAAGAATGTGGCCACGAAAACAATTTTATTCTACAATTAGAATTTACAAACCTCTGACTTTTTTTTCTTTCCAGGAGTATGCTGTTCCTGAAGTCTTCACTCCATATTTAATAATTTTTACTGTGTACTTAATCAATCATATATTTAAATGAACTATAACCATCAACATGAGTTTTGCTAGGACAAAAAGGGGAGGCAAATTTGCATATTGTTAGCAGTATGGAGTGGGTAGGATGACAGTGAGTGATGAAAGAGTATATCAATGTGGGGGATGATTCAGACCTCTTAAAATTTGTAGAGTAACAAAGAATGAGTTGTCTTTGGTTGTCATCTCAACTCATTACACAGAGATTTTTAACATTTTCTGATAACTTTTTTTTTTCTTTGTATCTGCATTGAAACAGAATAAAATTGAAAAGAAAATAATATTAGGTTATATTCTTGTCTTAGCTGTGAATGAGATCCACATTAAGATTTCTCCCTTCCTTCACCAAGCTTATTTGTGTACAAGAGTAATGGCAAAAGCAGTAATACACCTCAGGCAAAAGAGCCTGTGTGTCTATCAGTGCTTGGGTGACTGGCTTAGAGAAGGTTCATTGGAACAACGTGCCCTGGAGCAAATGAAAATACCATTCATAAATGCCAATTTGGAACTCACTGTGCAGTAGACAAAGTACTGAATAAATCCAGCACTGGAGTGCATACCCACTTCCAGACTTGAGTTATTCAGAACATTTTCAATAAATTAGAATTTGTAGAAACAAATGCATTCCATGCTGATAAATAAGTTTTCATGAAGATTTGATGGAGAAAGTTTGGGTATACATGATTTGCTAAATGGGACTGGCCAAGAAGGAGAACTACTAACAGTCTCCTTTTTTGTCTCCCTTTTTTTTACCCATCAAAACCAGACACTTGAATTAACATTTCAAGTTTTTATTTTTACACCACAGGCAATGATGACAGGAGTTAAAACTTTCATGAAAATAACTGCTCTTCTCCAGGCATCAGTCATGTACAATCCCATCATGGATTGCCTAAAAAAAAGTGATTTTTCACATCACTCATATTTCAAAGCACTGCAAAAAACAAGGGAGTTCAAAGTACACCTATGTTGTCAGGTTATTTTGTAGTGTGCTACTGAGAGCTAGTGACCAGCATTAATAGTATTTGGATCCAGTACTCACATCTTATTATTGCCGCTGTAAAAGAGGTAATCCAGTTGGGAATTATTAGATTAAAAAATCAAGAACTTTTTGCCAATAAGAGCAGAGCAGAACAACAGATAATTTCTATGATACAAGCCATTTCTTCACCCTCCCTACATTTGTCATGCCCTCATGACGAATATCTATCAAGCCATCTATCTAGTCTATAGGATCTGCCTTTATTCACAATACAAGCACTCTTGCTCCTCTTTACCCACATAATGGCAGCTACAAAGAAAAGCCCTTAGGGTATTACAGCTTCTTAAAGCAAATTTGTCAGTTTCAATTCAGGTTAGGTGCTCACATAACACAAACAATCAGGAAGGAACCCAATCAGTTCCTTTCAGATGCTGATGGTTCACACATAGTAATTTGTTTGGGCATACACACTTAACATTTATATGGATTCGTTCTATAGACACATAATACATGTAATGAGATGGTCATCTATAAATATACATATAGATGTGTATCCCAGTATATATATATATGTTTATTTATTAAATAACATACTTTTATATCTCTCAAAAAGATAATGTAGGCAGTTCTCAATAAACGAACTGATAAAATTCATGTCTGATGGAGAACTGCACAGATTTTTGTTGAAGTGTGAACACACTATGTATGCCTATATATATACGTGTACACCCATATACACATGCATACACTTAATGTACGTATGCATCATATATGTGTAACAGAGCATACAAATCCATATATAGCATTTGAGTAATGATGTGACAAACATTAGGCACATTGCATAAGTACTTATCTGGGAATAACCTTTGGTTTGGCCTCTCAAAGTATTTCCTTTTCTAATCTACACACTTCATATCTGGAGCACGTGGAAGCATCTTACCTTGCTTCCATTTTCTCTTGCCTCCCGTTCCATCTTGAGATCAGAAATTAGGAGAGTCTTGTATTTGTTCTTTCCATTACTGCTGTGATCATCTAGTCTGTATTCTGAAGTCAGCTGAGCAGAGAGGGGACTGTCACTCAGGTTCAGAGGCTGCTCATCCTGCTCCAGATTTGTTTTGCCATTACTGTTGGTTTCTGCCATCTCCCTGCAGTGTGTTCCCCCTGAAGCATTGGAACTGTGTCCCACGGTCTCATTGCCATTAAAACTCTCTGCGGCTGAATCATCTATTAAAAAATATATATTTTCAGTCATATGCCACATCATCATTTTTGTCCAGTTCAAACATAATTTATATTTTCACAATGTTTTTCAAAATAGAGTTCAAAAAGTTTATGTTACTTAATCCCAGTACATTTCTGCAAAATGTGCGTGCACATCCCTCCACTTATTCATATAAAAACTTTGTGTAAATCAACAAAATATTGCTAAGTTAAGGGAAATGATCTGGACTGACACCTTAGTGTCACTGTGTACACAAAAGCTAACCATCACACTGGATTTTTAGGGACAAAGTGACAAAATCTGTCTTAAACCATCTGTCTGTCCATATGTCTGTGGATCTATTTATTCTTATATCGTGTTCATTGCTGCAGTCTTGCATATTCCTGAAGTTAACAGAGATGCACATGGTATTGAGAGAATGTAATTCTCAGGTTTTAAGGGTGCAGAGCAGCATATGTCTTATTCATAAACATCCTCTTACACAGATACAATGTAAATATATCCGATGCATTCACTGCTGGCAATAGAGATTACATTGGGAAAATCGACTCCTAAAGCAAAAGATCCCCTCTTTGCTTTGTTCACATGCTCATCTATTTTGCTCATTCATTGTGTTACAATACATTTTAAAATACCACTTAATAAATGATCAAATTATCAACCTGGAAGTTACATCTGGGGACTCGGGATGTGGTGATGTTGGCCCCTATATTTTACAGCTAAAAAGTCTGGTTAAAATATATTTTGACATGCTTCTTTGTTTGTATATCCTGTGTTTGTCAGCACTGGGATTTGCCACCTGTTCTACTTTCTCAGCCACTGTTTACTCTTAAGCAGTCCTTTGGCTACCTAATAAACAATTTCTCCTTCAGTGGATGAATTTGGACCTCAATTTGCTTATTTGCTCTACCAAGAACCTTACAGCAATTTATGTGATTTAGCTCATGGTGCAAAGCCCAGCCCAGGGTCCTACAAGTCTATGTTTATCAGGCAGTGAAGCTGAAATCAAAACTGAGGAGTTAGCCACCTGGAATTCACACAGATCGAAACTGGAGACATGAGATGAAATGGACCTTTATATGACATCTGCTATCAGGCTCTCCTAATCATTTTCCATTGAAAAGAAACAAACATGCTCATATACACATGGTACTTAAAGACACCACAACGCATACTTTAAAGGATGTGCTCAGAAACATTCACACTTCAAGCTACACGATTGATCAAACTGTTGTCTATCAATAGTTAACACAGTAAAAAACAAGTATTCCGACCCTCAGATTAGAATTTTAAAAGTGAAGAAAATTCCAGTACAAATTGGTAATGATCTAATTCACTTAAGTACTTAAAGAGCCACAGGCAAGATATCATACATCAGCGTTTTGCTTGCTGCGCGCATCCAACACCACTGTGTCAAAGCATATAAGACTTGGCTTCCATTATGAAGATTTTTTGGTTTCTAAACCTGTAAAAAAAATCTATTTTCATGAAAATACATAATAAAAATCACATTTTAAAGGCTTTTACTTAAGGAGCAGATTTGACTTTTACGAAATGCTTTATATTTAATGGCTGCAATAAAAAAAAAAAAAACAAGCAAGATATGTTTCAGTTTTTACATTACCTCTCTTGTAAATATAAATGTATATACACTAAAAGATACACACTGTTTCTAGAAGCAGATTTTTAAATACATACAACTTGCATACTAGGCACCATCTCACTGTGACATTCTTATTTAAAAACCTGGAGCTAATTGAAGATTGAAATGACATAATCTTGAGATCAACACAATGTATCCCTAACCATTCCATGTGATTTATGATTTACAGGACCTTAACAAGAACACATTAATAATAATAATAATTTTAAAAGATTAAAATTCTAAATAAAGTTTTATAAATAAACAATTGTATAATTCAGAACTAGAAAATGGTACTTGAAAAGGGAGATGATTTTTTTTTTTTTTTAAGAAAACAGCTATATTTTCTACTCATTTTAAAAGCTCTGAAATATAAAAAAGAAATCCAGTTTAATTAAAAGAGAAACACTTTTTCTAGGGCTGATTTGTATTTAGACTGTTATTAGATGATTGCCTTCTTGATTATCAGTTTAACAAGTGACAGTTAGATTCTAATTAATTAAATCAATCAGCATCAAGTGGTAGAGGGTCCTCCCTTTTAAGAGTTCAGGATATTGCCTGTGGTTGGGAGCAAAGGGAGAAACAATTCAGTTACCAGAAATGCACAGCTAAAAGCTGAGGCCAGTGCTTCCTCTGCAGCACCTAAATCTGATTCTTGGGAAGCCACTGTGTGCTGGCAGCTGAGAACCTTGTGCAGAGGAGCCAGGTGGCTAAATGGGAGTGATGGAGTAAGAAGGAGGCGTGTCCAGAGCCAGATCCAGGAACAGCTAACGTCCAAAGTAAGGCTTTTACTTTGGACTTGGAATCATTAACTGTGGTTTTAATTCTTTCTTCCTTTTCTTTCATGTTTGTTTTTTTTTCCTGTATGATGAATGATAGACAACTAAAACTTGCACATGTGTGCCTGTAACAATGTGAAAGAAAAAAATTAAACAGATCTTTCCTGCTTATTCTGAAAGATAACCATTGAAAAAATTCTTATAAAATACCTATGCTGAATAAATGTCATCAAATATTCTTGTTATTTTGAAACAATAATACAGTACATGCATGGCTTTGGCTTTGCTGAGCAAATGCTTTGTTACTTGATGGTAGATCTCAGTTCTACTAAAAAGTCAAATACCATCTTTTACAGTCATTTAACCTTGCTCATTAGAAATATTTTCCTGATTGTCAGTTAGGAAAAATGTTCAGGAGAACGGCTGCAATGACTAAAAAGCACACTTTTGCCAAGTAAAAATAAATACGCATTGCCATAAAAGAGATAAAAATAAAAAAATAAAAAATATTGGTTTAGCACTGGTAGTTCCTTACAGATGTTACCAAGGTAACTAATTTACAAGGTTTCATGCATTTCTCATTCCTGGGCGGGTGGTCTGTTCACGCCAAGAACAAGGCTACTTTAAGAGCTACCCAGTGAGGCACAGAAACACAGACTGTGTGAGCAACTGCTTTGAGGAAAAAAAGGTTCCTGTTTCATGAAGGACACCACTAAAGGTGGGCCACAAAGGCAGATGCCCCTGGGTTGCAGAGAAATGTAAGCAAGGAACATGGTAGGCCTAGGGATTCTTTGGCATCATGGCGGCAGCTGGGGTTGGCCTGGGTCTGGCATTCACCACAGTTAATTCATGTGTGGGCAGTGGTTGCACCACTGATGCAAGGACAGCGTGTTTTTGCAATATGCCTCTTGCCATAACCATCACTTGTGGAGGTTTATGGGAAGACCTCCAGGAAAGCACCCTGCAGCTGTGTGTACCACAAGCTGAAAGAAGAGGGGCAGATAGCTTCCTGACCTATGTCGTGTGCCAGGACAGTCACAAAAGAGGAACTGGGAATTGTTCATAGAATCACAGAATATAAATGGCCTGGGTTGAAAAGGACATCAAAGATCACCTGGTTTCAACCCCCCTTCTACATGCAGGGTCACCAACCACCAGACCAGGCTGCCCAGAGCCACATCCAGCCTGGTCTTGAATGCCTCCAGGGATGGGGCATCCACAACCTCCTTGGGCAACCTGTTCCAGTGTGTCACCACCCTCTGTGTGAAAAACTTCTTCCTAACATCTAACCTAAACTTCCCCTGTCTTAGTTTAAAACCATTCCCCCTCATCCTATCACTATTCACCCTTGTAAACAGCTGTTCCCCTCCAGTTATTCACATCTTCATCTTCTCCCCAGGCCACCGCTGTCCAGAGACTTCAGCCATAATAGTGAATGATGGCCTCATCAGACAATGCTGCTTGCTCAGAGCAAGCCATGTCTTTAGGAACTGTGTCACTTTGAACCCTTACCCCACACGCTGGAAGGATGAAAGTATATCTACATTTTCTGTTGTATAAGCCTAAAAAGGGAGAATCTGACTGCAAAATAGGTATGTATTTTGCTTCTCAGAAACGCCTACACAGATATGCCTCACAGATAAGGAGTATAACCCCTTCCCCCCCCCCCCCCAAAGAAAAGCTTGTTGTTTGAATTGGACATCCTGCTGAACCAAGGAGCATAGCCCAAACTGAAAAAAATAGCAGGAAAGAAAGCCCAACCAACACACAAAAACAGGTACTCTAAATAGTTTTGTTTCTCAGAACTGTTGCATCCTTCACTTCAGTTATCTACTACATGACCTGAATCTTTGCCAAAAATCAGTTCCTCTATATTTTACACATCACACTATGCAAGTGCTTTCCATGACAGTTCACAGTCTAAGGACACTCTGACTTAGAGCAGGAAGTCAGGTATTAATTTAAAGGATTACCTTTTCCTACAAACAGCATCTGTATTTTTGAATGGGTCAGAAAGCACATTTTGCTTGGAGTAAAGATTCTTCTTTACAAGTTAAAATGGAGTTCTTCCACTCAGAGAGAACTGTCCTCAGATCAGATAAGTCAAATCCTCAACACTGTTCACAGTAAGGGCTCTCTTAAAGGGAAACAAGCTGAAGTGTGCATGAAATTTGACTTGAATAACAGGTCTCTCAAACACTAGTTTTCTGAGAGCACAAATTTTAGATCTAAAACTGATAAAAGTATCACTGATTTACTGTGAACCTCGAACTAAGGTATATAAATATGATTCTTGCTTATCTCCTTGTGAGAAAAACTCTCCAGATGTCTTAAAGGATCTCTTGCATTATTGTTAGTAAACAATTTCATACTATATATCACTCAGGCTTCTCATATTCCTTGCAGATAATTCAGGGAGGGAGTCAACAAACCCTTCCACAGAAAGGTAGATCTCTGAATAATTTGTCTCCTTTTCTCAAATTACTTGTCAAGCTAGAATTCAATTAATATTTAGAGCATGCTTAACTAGTTTTTCTAGTTGAAATTTGTATGAAAATTACCTGAAACTTACTGCATATTT